AAAGTTTTAGGCTTAGACTCTCCGGTGAACTTACTCACTCCAGTCGCCAACCTGAAGTTGGGGGGTATCACTGCGGCTCTGATGGCTCTGCTAAAGCATTCTGGACCTGAAACGTGGACTCAGCTGCTTGTGGGCACATCTCTGTCATGGCCACCTCTATGAGCTCTGTTCCGGTCGACCAAACCTTGCACGATGATGGATCTCGCGTCAAAGCCTGGCTCTCTGGGGTCGACTGGGGCTCTCCGCCCAACACTGAGCTGGCGTCTGTCATCTGCTGCCGATGGGTGTTAGACCCACCCCTCGGGGGAGGAGTGAGCACTCGACGCCTGTCATCACGATCAAACCGATCATCATAGTGGTCCTGTCGGCCTTCACGTCCCACGCGCCTCGGAGGCGACCTTGGACTGTGAGCCGACTGAACAGTATTCGCAGCGACGGATCGACTGTGAATCCTGTTGCGCGACTGTGACACGGCTGAATTCTGATCTCCTGCCGCCCGGAGCAAATCTCTGATCTGCATCAAGCCTCTCCCAGCCTCTGACTGAGAGGGCTGAATTGACTCCGCTATACGGGCTGCAGCTGCCAAATTCTGAATTGGGGTTCGATATACCTGAGTCGGTTACGGAAAGAGCTGACGTCGGTTCGAGTTGGTCACTCGTTGACGCGCATGCTCGTCGAGTGCTCGCTGGAGGTTCTCCAGTCGAGTGCGTTCAGCCAGGTTGGCTAAACGCGCCTCTTCTAGGACACGAGCCTCAGGAGTTTCTCCTGCAATGGGAGTATGCAGGGCATCCATGTTCCGGCGGCGAAGCTCTTCCCTCTGCTGAGAAGTGAGCGGCTCGGGCTGATACTCTTCGTGGGCTTGAGCGGGGTCGCCTCCATCGTCCATCCCGTCGTCGCGGGGGAAACCGGGAGGACTACGAGGCTCGTTGACCATCAGAACCTCCGCCGCTGGATCACTGCTATCGCACTCGGATGCAGTCTCTACGGAGCCAGTCGAACAGGCCGTAGAGAGATTCGTCAGGCTCAATTGCCACGACTTGGGTGGTGGCCGATTGGCGAGCCACTGCGTGCCTCACCCATCGCTGGAGCCTCGATCGACCGGAGCGCTTGCGCTGGCGGGAGACAGGGAGGGAGGACGGTGCAGGAGTCGACCGGTATGGGTTTGACGGCTGCCGCAGCAAGACGCCGCGACACACGCCCGAAAGTGCATCGCCCCGCGGACGGGGAGCGCTTCGATGTCGAGTGGTGCCTCCTGGAGCCAAGCGGAGTCGTCAGCGATGAAAGCGAGCGCCCCGAGACGGATCTCGCGGCCCTCGACCAGAGCTCCGCCGGAAACCATGATGAAGGCGATCGGACAAATTGCAACTTCTCCAAAAAAGTCGCTAAGACACCTGCCCCACGGTGGGCGCCAACTGTCGTGGTTCTAAGTCTGACAGTAGAATGGGGGTAGGTATGGAGAGGCAAGATCCTAGCTATGAAGTAGTTGTACACACAAGTGTTTTTACGAGTTCAAGCCCTTCTCTGAGGAAGTAATAGCCCTACGTCTCGGAGCCCGGAGGCGGTCGACTGGTTTATGTGTATATGAGTTACAGGGGTGCGAACCCTTCTACCAGTGGAGGGGGGTGGCTTATATAGAGGACGCCAGGACCCCAGCCTACCCACGTAGCAGAGGGTTAAAGTACATTAAGGCCGGGCGTTACTGGTAACGCCCTACATAAAGTGTCATCATGACCATTAAGACTACTTAATTACAGACCGTTTGGATACAGAGTAGATCCTGAACTTCTGACGGTCGAGTGCGTCTTCATGGTCGAGTGTCTTCTAGCCGGTCGAGTGGAGTCTCTCTTGGTCGAGTGGAGCCTCTCTTGGTCGACTGGAAGATAGCTTCGTCTAAGGATGTCCTTGGGTATGGTATCCTAGATAGGTCCATGACCCTACCCTAGGTACATAACATCATAAGTAGCTAGATGCAATCTCTTTCGATCTAATGAGGAAGAGGCTCTGTTACCATGTGAAACGATATTGTGGAAGCGTTGAACCCTTTGCTCGGGCCGCACTTGTATATAAAGAGGCAATGTCGTGGCTTACAAGACGAGATCGAGAGAGAACGATCATTACAGGAAACGATCGGTACAGGAGGATTAAGAGGGAGAGATAACAGAAGAAGAGATAGAGAAGGGTACAAGGTTTGAAAGATATCTATACCTATACAACTCTATCTCTAACTAACCAACTATTTCAACACCGGCCGGCTCGATCTCGATGTTGCATTAGAAAAATTGTGCTTGTCATGCTTACGAACACCATCACAACTTAACTTAGCTCCATCTGGTATTGTGAATGACGATGAATCCCCAGATGGATATTGATTGAATGGTTTGGATATAATAACAAAGAATAAAGAAAAGAAGCGGTAATTCACATGGTCCACTAAAGCATCTGTAAAATTGCCAAAGTCAGTTAGCAACCTCGAAGTAGCAAAAGAGAGAAGGGTGCGGTGGAGCAGGGTCGTGAAGATTGGGGGAAGGATGAAATTTAACAGCACACACCTTTTCACAGCTTGGAGCAGGGGAATTCAGATTCAGATTCTTCTGATTGGTGGCACTTCTCATTGAAAGCTTCGTATGTTGACATGTAAAACTAGAGAGATTATTGAACTCCTAGAACATTTGATAACTGCAATATTCCACGCATTTGAAGGTATGGGTTCCCCAGAGTTTTTCATTGTGACACTGACTGGAGTATGTTAGAGATAATCCTTAAGGGTTAACATAATAGGATATGGATCTCTGACTGAAACACCTGAAGCACATCGGAAGATTACATACTAAATGTGATTTTGTATGACCAAGATGGGATAGTCCCTGATTTTGCTGCCGCGAGTCTCCAGTGATGTGGAATCCTTCGGAGGAGAAGAGCAACAACAGGGTAGACGGCAGCAGGGACGCAGGAGGGCCTCCGACACTACCATGTGGTAGCCAGTGGTAGTAGAGGGTCTTCTAGCCATCAACTCTCTTTTTTTAGCATCGGTAATTAGCCCTCTAGCAAGGTTTAACTCGTATATGTGTGCACACACACGAAGCGGTACGCGGCCTCTTCTTTATATACGACGGGCCGATGGGCGAAGGACCGAAACCATATGTTGGTTCTAGGTGCCCCCGATCAATGCACCATCATGGAAAAAGACTCTCCCTTCTCTCTAGGTCAATAACAACCTAACCTGAGATCAATTCCAACAATCTCCCCCTTGATTGTAAGGTTAACAATCAACATAAGCCCACTCCTAATAAAAAATAATATACCAAAGTAAAGTGTTACAATGGACAATGAAGTGTCATTGAACCTCAGTAATAGTATAGGATTCTATCTCGAAATGGATGACAGTTTACTTTATGGGAGTTAGTTTATTTGACGGTCCTATTTTCCAGCATCAAAAGGCTTTCAAAACTCATGCTTGCAACATAATCATAAAATAATGGATGGTAAGCCTTCGATAAACAGATCCATAAAAGGCTTTCTGGTGGCCATCGGACGCATGGCGCTCCACACCATTGCCCCATGGGCAAGAGACAGACAACACACTACCTCGATGTCACATATTCTCCTAGTTTTGCGAGTGCATTGGAAGCTAACTTCCATATGAAAATACACATTTTTGGGGCACCGTGCACTGACATATGGACTTCCAATCTGGGTGAGTGTTAGCCAGTTTATTGCTCGACGCGCCGCTACCCTATGCTCCTCCAAGGGAAATCAATAAGCGCTGCAAACTGTAAACCATGCTTCTCTGAGTGCTCACGCTTCCATGTGCTCTAAGGCTTGAGCTTTGCAATCTCCTCAACATCCAGCTCCTAAAAATATTGTCGTAGCCTAGCCGGATTCTTTTTACCTCCTTGTTAGATGAAATCGACAACCCAGTGGACGTGGCACTGGCCTCGTGAGGGGGGGGGTGTCTCTTGGGATCGAGTGGCCACGCCAAACCCGAATGTTCACCCCATTTTCCACTTGCCGGACAGTCTCTTATTTATTGAGCAATTCAAGGACATACTCTACGGCATGCCACGTCGACGAGAGTTTTCCAATGAAAACCGTGTGCAACAGTGTTACCATTGGTTCGCGCAAAAAACAAATATAAAAAAGGGTAGCATTCAGAATCTGCACACACGGAGAATCAGGGTATTGGTTTCGACACGTTAGTCATAGCGGTCAAATGGTCCCCGTGGAAGCAAAGAAATGCGAGAGTCTCCATCTGGTCCAATAAGCAAAGAAATACGAGAGTCTTCACCTGGTTCCCGTGGAAGCAAAGAAATGTGAGAGTCTTCAATAGGGTGGAGCAGCAAAAGAGACCCAGGGAGCTCGTCATGGTTATATTAGGCGAGGTCGCAGATTGGAGGCAAGCGGCGGAAGGTGTTGGTGGGTTGCAATGTTTTGTGAGAGGATTGCTTAGTGCACTGCCGTAGGTTGTTGGGAAACAACAGTTTTGGATCCTGTGAGTTAGACTATCGGGTCTAGGTGCGCAGGTATAGAGTTATGCTCATATCTTCCCCATGACTAGTTGATGGTGTTTAAGCATTGTATATGCACATAAAAAGACGAACCTAAACCATACCCATCCGGGTGGTTGTCCACAGATACCCCTATATCAATCCTCAATTCAGAGACAAGGAACCCATCACCCCTAGAACACGCCGACCCAGTAGATCACGTCGACAACAAATAATCAAACGGTTTGGAAATGCCTTGAGCTTATTGAGCCGCATATAGGCAAGCATTCAGTTTGTATAGCTAGAACACATCTTTATTGTTGATGTGCCAAATGAAATACACTAATTACTTCTTAGGAATATAGTTTTCACAAAATAAGACGGAAATGCAATATAATATTCATCCTGGAATCCAGAAAATACACTCTTTGAAACGCTTGAAACTTCGAACAAATACAATCAGAATATTGTCATCATGGATGAAAAGCGCTACAACGACATATGAAAGCTGACTACCTAGTCTTGATCTAAAAATTCCCTCAAAGGCTTTTCCAATTGTTTCATGACAGCCCCCCATCCCGCGTGTGTCGGGTGCATGTCGTCCCAATAGAAAAATTTATTGGACTTGCCGCACACGGTGTAAAGAAGCTCTGTGGACAACTCGCCTTGCTGTCCACAGTAACCCTTCGAATCTAAACTCTTGCAACACGGCGATAGTTTGCGCTTGAATTCCTTCGATAGCTCTGAGCCTTTACCTACATTAATGTACATCAAATTAAATTAGATTAGAAAATTTTAAAATAAAGACACTTTTGAATGCATGCAGATACATACCTGGCACATGATCCACAATATTAATGAATGTGGTGTACAGATCGACGATGTGGACATTCTTCTTTGCTGTCATAACTTGTTTCAGGTTATTGTTATGGATGGAAGCACCCAAGTTCTCAAAAATATTGCACGTAGTGTAGTTGTTAGTTCGGGTTTGTGATGGCGTGCAACCGACAGGATGCAAGTTGTTGACAAGAACCTTTGTCACCCCGAGCTTCAACAATTGCTCCACATTAGCAGCCATCTCTTTTGTCACTTTCCCAATATAAGCATTAATCTGCACCGCATACATGAAAATTAAGTTAGTAAGATGCACAAACAAATTAATTGTTCAAACTAGTGTATGCATACTATGTTGATATAGTACTCACATCGTCGGGGTTACTTAGGCCAATGACGCCGGTGCTTGCATAATCATTGCCGGAGAAGGCCACGAGCGCTACAGAGTGAGTCAATTGTTTCTTCGTGATGGTCCCGTCTTTGACCATCTTCCTGAAAGTATTGACTTGCTTGGTAAAGGTGGGAACCTCATGTGATGTACTATCCAACACCGCTGCGCCACCCGTAGCAAAAGTCATGCCGGACGGGTCGCAGGTTTTCTCCGCTGTACGGGCATGTGCTGGAGGGGCTTCCTCCAACCCCAACATTGTTGCTGCAAGTTATCAATAGAACAATGAGTAGGGTTAATTATGATGGGCCAGGGATTTACAATATAACAGAGTACTTGTCTTAGGGCAATAAATAAGTATAACAATAGTACTTACCGATGAAATCGGGCTGGATCTTGTAGTTTGAGAAGCGGCCGGACGGGGTATTCGGCCGCAGAAACCCATCGGCATCGACGTAGTTGGAGCCGTAGGGGTAAGCCCATTGCCGCGACATCTCAGTGACGGGTTCGGTTGGAGGGAGGTTCCCGTTGGCAGCGAAGTCATCCCCGAAGACAAAAAGGTGGCGCTCGACAGCTTCTTCTCATGACCGCCGGTAGGCGCAGGCCGGGCCTCCACGCCATTGGGATTCAGGACGAGGAGGAGGAGGGCGAGGCCGAGGACGGCCGGGAGAAGCTTCATCGATTCCGGCGGTGTGGAGGCGGATGGTTCTACTACTGCCGGCCCGAGGATCACGATCGCCCAGCCGCTACTGTTTCGCCAACTAAAAATCAGGAACGCAAAGCGCTTGTCAGCGATGCTCGTACATCATGGCCTGGCCCTCTCTTCAATTTATGGAATCATCGACGAGCAAAACAAGTCGAATCGGGCTTGCGGCCTTGACCAGAGTCGGATCCACAGCACAGCCGGACACGGATTGACCAGCAAAGCAAGTCGGAATCGGGCTTGTCATGGACGGGGCGTCGTCGTTCACTGGCCAGCTGCACATCTCTGCATGCCCTCTTCCCCTCCTCCGGCCATCAGACCTCCTCCACGCCGTTGCGCACCGCCGTCAGCTCGTCGGCCGCGCCGCGCTGCCAGTTGTCCTCGCCCTTCCCACGGACGGGGTTCTCTCCGTCTCCGGTTTTGCTGTTAACCTCCACCCCAGTCGGTGTCGCCTTCTCAGTAACAGTTGCAAAGGGGCTCTTCAGAACAGCAGTTTATACCAGTCATACTTGAACAGGAAAATGCTCATGCGTGTTTCTCGTGAGGACTTGTTGGGTCGTATTGTTCCTCACACAAAGTAGAACCAAGTGACTACCAAAGTAAAAATTGGTACATTTGAATTTAGATCACAAGAACATATTGGCGGTGTATTGCCTTGAAATGGTGTCTAGTCAACACACTAAATTCCTCTTGCATTTCCTCATCATCCATATATATGTTCGGGAAATGCCAGAATAAGTTGATGTAAGAACTGAACTTCCACGGCAACTTTCTGTAGTAATCATCTATTTTCCTCCAAACTAAGACATGAAGAAAAGAAATCTTACCGTTCAGAAATTGAGCCTTGCTTCAAAAAATAGGTGCGAGAGGTAGGATCCGAACTCCCCACCTAGTTTGCTTCCACCAGCTTTAGCGAACTAGGACAGCTGACTTTTTGTGCCTGGTTATTGCATCTTCTCAGACTTTCTTCTTTTTTATTATTTTGTTTTGGTACCAAAAATGGAATCACGACTCGCCGGCGATCACCGGAGACAAGATAGTGTGGCGAGAGGATGAACACAGAAGTTTTGATGGCGCACAAACACCTCACCGCGCCGATGGCTTTTCTGTATTTTCACACGAGCTCAAACTCGGTACCCTCAGCTGCAACACACAGGGGGGAGAGGGACTTATACGTGCGCACACTGACGCACCACGTCGCGCTCCCGGCACACCCCACTCACACGATCTCCAGGCCCAAACCTGATTGAACTTTTCGGTCACGTGTGCGCCCAGCCGTCCATAGCGCTCAATTTAGTCCCACCCCACTGAGCAACGAATATGGGGGCATAGAGCTCTGCTTTATAATGTGACCGAGTGTCATAATATAAAGAAACACATTTGACGAGTTGGCTCGATGTAATCTGAAAACAAATTAGCAAATGTTCTTGAAGATTAGCAAATGAAAAAAGATTAAAAACAAATGAAAAATAAACCCGAAGAAAAAAGGCCAAACAAAAGAAGAAGAAACAGAACGAGAAGATGCACAACAAGAATAAAAGAAGAAACTAGGCACAACAAGTGAGTTGTCCTAGTTGGTTATAGTGAGTTGAAGCAATCGAAGAGGTTTACTTCATCCACCTATTTTTTGAAGGTTAAAAACAGAAGAAAAATAAATGGGCCAGGCCCAGGACGGAGGGTTACGTGTGCCGGTTTGTGTGACCCTACTCCATGTACAATGTATACATATACGGCAGGTGAAGAGTAATATGACTATAATGCCCCTTTTTTTAAGAGGTGTGTGCTAATCTGGGCCGTTCTTGTGTTTAGAAAGATGTGCCGAAGTAGAAGTGTCCGAAATTAAAGTGTCAAAGATCCGTGTCAGCTTCCAATCAAGTGACAACTGCTCCCTAGTAAGGGCATCTCGAACGGCAACCAGCGAATTTTCTCCAGCATCTGTCTGTGGACACGAATGCGGGAGGCCGCCATCCAACGCTTCCCACATACATTTGGACAACAATGTGAACTAACTAGACGAAATTCGTTGAAACACGACCGAATTTCATATAAACATATCGGATTGTCATATAAACATGACGAATTTCATTACATTTCGGACATACATCAACTAAGCGGTGCTCGTCCGGCTCTAATGATATAACTAATACGCCTAATCTATGATCGCCGGTGCCCATTCCCCGTGTCCGGCCACGAGCCCCGTGAACTGAAACTTCGCCTTCTCCAGCTCCGCCTCGACGCTCTCCAGCTCTGGCTTCGTAACCTCCACTTCCGGAGACCCATGAAGTGAAGTTGTTCGCCACCATGTCGTCGCCAAGCGGCTAATCGGCCGACGATGTTCATCCCACCAAGCTTGGCTTCAATGGAAAGGGAGGAGCGGTGTCCTTCTTGAGACCCGAGCGGCGGGAACCTACCGTGCTCTACTCTTCCTCGCTGTCGGCGTCGTGGCGGCGGGGCACGGCCTCGGCGGAGCCGACGTTGTCCTCCGCCTCATCGTTGGTCTTGCCCAACACCTCGTCCGCCGCCTCGTCGAACTCCTTGTAGGCGGCCTCCAGTTTCGCCTGACGCTGGCGGTACCGCCAGCCGGCGAGGCGGATCTCGCGGGCGGAGCGGTATGACTCAAGAAGCGCCAGCTGCTCCGCCAAGTCCATCTCCAACGCGATCGCTCTGCCGGCAGCGAGCTACCCCTCCGGCTGTTGGTGCCCCTAGAGGAGTTGGTGGTTGTAGGCGGCGTTGGCCTACGCCTCCCGGAACTAGTCCTCCTGCTCCTCCTGCACCATGTCCATGTAATGTGCATGGGCCTTGCTGATGATCATGGTGCAATGCACCGACGAGGGTGGTGCTGGCGAGGAAGGTGGCGCCGTCTCGTCATCAGTCGCGTCCTCCATTGGGACGACGTCTTCCTCCATCCGCCTGCCGGCCAGCCAGCTGGCCCCAATGACGGCCATCTACTTCTTCTGTTGCGGCATGGACCCGTCCTAGAGAGCTCTGGAGCGGGAGGAAGCCATGGTGGGAGTGGTGCGGACAGGTGAAAGGGATCGAAAGCGAATGACTGCCGATATGGTAGGGGCAGCAATTCATATAGCAATAGTGAGCGGCAGAGGGACGAACGGGTGGCGTCGGAGTAGACGCCTTAGCAACTGTGTGTCATTAATGTGGGCGGCAGACGGACGTGTGGACGACCGTCGTGTCGTTTGAACGCGGAGCAGTCGCCTGCACCGGAAAGTGGCGTGGGTGGCGCGTCACTTCAATGCCGGCACCAGTGGTCGCGTCCGCTCTGGCCGGGCATGAATATGGCACTGACGCTCTGGAACGGCGCGAACTATTTCGGACGGGAAGTGCGGGCGGGCGGCGCGTCCCTTCAACGCCGGCGCGAGTGGTCGCTTTGCTCTGGCTGGGCATGAATGTGGCACTGACCCTCTGGAGTGGCGCGAACTGTTTCGGATGGGAAGTGCGCGCGGGCGAGAAAAGGCGTTTGGATGGGCCAGGGCGGTCAGGCGCGGGATTGCGAGCTGGGACGCCCGCAAAGCCCCTTATGTTTGTCTTCGGTTTGCGAAAGAAAGTATGTCCGTACACGGGAAGATACAGACCCAGAGCGAATGGCAAAACATGATACATAATTTCATCAGAAATAACATACACCGCTTGACTGCTGAACAGCAAATTACTCTTTGATGAAGCAACTCCACAAATGAACTTGAGATACAAGTTGATCGCGCTGCACAAATTTTTCTGAGAAAAACATGATCGATCTGCGTAACTCAAGAATTGCCATTATCTTACATGTAGTGCATGAGAGGCCAGCGTAGCCTGTGCTAGTCTTCAGTAACCCTGGGCTTCAGACATGACCTGATGCTGCTGAGCTCCCTGATGAAGCGGACGAGCCGCTCCAACTCGGACGACGACGACCCGGCCCCAGCGACATCCAGCCTCAACCGTTGCGCCATGGCTTGGATTAGCCTAGGTGATAGTGTACCTGTGTAGGTGTCGGAGTTAGTGCATTGTGGTTGCCCGAATGTTCGCATTTGTGCTACACTTCTTGTAAACATGTTTCCTACGTATTTTTTATAAAAATATAGTACGCCATTGACGTACCCTCGGAGAAGAAAAATCAGGGTTTTGGTATGGCAGGAGCTTGCGAGGGAGCAGAGCTTGTGTTAAACCCCAATCCGCCACGATCAGTTGGGCCTTGTCATGAACACGAAACAAAAGCTGGTTCCGGTGCAGTACCTACTTCTGAATGAACAATGAACCACAGAACCTTGTCTCCTAACAATTTTGTGGCACCGAAGAAGGCAAACAGTTTCCTTCACGGCTTCTAACTAACAGAGAATTAAAATCGGATCGATTCTGCATATAGGCAAAGGGATGACCGACGCAAACATGTCATTTTTGGCTTCACAGCAAGAAATTCTGCTGCATAGGTTGTCAATGCCTTATTTTTTTCTCAGAAACAATGAGGTGTCCAGCACTGGTATGCCAGGTGTATTTATTTTTCTCTCTCAAAAAGTCCACACTGCAAGCAGACGCTCCATGATTTTCAAGAGCAGTACCAGGAAATCAGGGGCTGCAAACAAAGACAGCAACACATGGCACTGTCTGGCAAGCTATATTCATCCTGTCAATCATAGGGCGGGCTGGCTGGCTGTTGATGGTAAATTATACTCAACCATGTTACATCCATTATACAACCGAGCATGGACATGCTTTTATTCCTGTTATATACTCCCTCCTTTCCCAAATAATTGTCTTTCTAGCCATCTCAAATGGACTATAACATACAGATGTATGTAG